AAACCACGAATTTTAGTATTATAACTTTACAGGCTTACTGCTGTGCCACCTGGGGGTTCTACGGTAGGTACAATGATTCAGAATATGAAGGAAAATTGAGCTGAATTAGAAGTGATTATTTTATTCAAGTTAAACTAAATATGGTTTTCACGGTAGGAATAAACATTCTGAATTAAAACTGATTATTCTATTTAAATTAAACTAGAGTACGTATGAATGAAATATTAAATAAAACTATGTTTTGAAAATTCACACAAGTTTTTATCGGTTGTACATAGTAAAACGTTTCTTTATCTTATTCCCAACGTTTCATCAGGTTTATCTGGCATCATCGGGTGGGTTTGTTTGTAGTTAAGCACAAAGCTACACAATGGTCTATCTGTGCTCTGCCCACCACGGGTATCGAAACCCGGATTCTAGCGTTGTAAGTCCGCAGACATACCGCTGTGCCACTGGGGTGGCTCATATCGGGTGGGATACAAGAACTAAGGCTAACAATTAAAAACAGTCAGAGAGTACAAAATTAACATTCAAGTACAATTTAAATTTTTACCTGGAAAGAAGCTAAGTCAACTGCTATCTAAAAAAAGTATATGGATAACGATACTTCAAGAAATATGTGTACAATTGAATGTACAGATTGCGAAAGCTTTTAACCTGGTGGGACTAACAGACCACTTTCTAAATGTTTTCGGGAACATTTAAAATCTCCAGCTCACGTTTTTGGAAACATTTTTATTAAAAACTTTTTTTTTTTATTCTTCCCAACTAAAAGTCCTCAGCAGAGAGAACAACATTAATAGACGAAAAATAAAAGATTCCTTATTAATAAAAAAACACAACCCTATTCTTAACAAATACAAAGGTGTTTATTTATATCTATTTTAGTTCTCTTCTCTCATGCATATAGAACGTATTTGAATACTTAGACTCAGTTCTAAAAGTTTTGTTTATTGTACTTAAATTTGACTAGTTCATTGAAAAATTGTTTTATTGTTTACAGTTGGTCAGTCGTGTGTTTGTAGGTTATATAGTTATGGCTTCTCACGTGATTCTGTTAAATTCTGTTATCTTCATTTCTTGTATGCTACCTGATGACGCCAGGTAAACCTGTTGAAACGTTGTGAATAAAATAAACAAACGTTTTACTAAGTACAACCGATAAAAACTTGTGTGAAGTAAATATGGTTGTCACGAAATAAATAAAAATCCTGAATTAAAAGTGATTATTTTATTGACATGAAACTAAAGTACACATTGTTGTCATAGAATAAATAAACATTCATCATTTGTATTGGTTACGTAGGGTTTATGTGAGTTGAAATATACATATATTGATTTAATTTTGTTTTCAAAGTTGATATAAACGTTTTTATTATATAGAGTGGTTACATTAAAATGTGTCTTAACTTTATGGATTCCGTAGAATTGATACCAATATTCCAGGAATGGTCTTCTCTGACCAGTTCATACAGATTTCTACAAAGCTACCTTCGTCTAACGTGTATGGCCTGGGAGAGCATAGAACTGAAAAATATCGCCATTCGACATCTTGGAAGAGATGGAGCTTTTTCAGTAGAGATGCTGCTCCTTTGGTATATTTTATCTATTTTTCTGTCTGTCTTTCATCTATCTGTGTGTCTGTCTGTTATCTATCTGTGTGCCTGTCTGTTATTTATCTGTCTGTCTGTTATCTATATGTCTGTCTGTCAGTCAGTCATCTATATGTCTGTCTGTCTGTTATCTATATGTCTGTCTGTCTGTCAGTCATCTATCTGTCTGTCTGTCTGTTATCTATCTGTGTGTCTGTCTGTCTGTTATCTATCTGTGTGTCTGTTATCTATCTGTCTGTCTGTTATCTATCTGTGTGTCTGTCTGTCTGTTATCTATCTGTCTGTCTGTTATCTATCTGTCTGTCTGTTATCTATCTGTCTGCCTGTCTGTTATTTATATGTCTGTCTGTCTGTCAGTCATCTATCTGTCTGTCTGTCTGTTATCTATCTATCTGTCTGTCTGTCATCTATCTGTGTGTCTGTCTGTTATCTATCTGTGTGTCTGTCTGTCATCTATCTTTGTGTCTGTCTGTTATCTATCTGTGTGTCTGTCTGTTATCTATCTGTGTGTCTGTCTGTCTGTTATCTATCTGTCTGTCTGTTATCTATCTGTGTGTCTGTCTGTTATCTATCTGTGTGTCTGTCTGTTATCTATCTGTCTGTTATCTATCTGTGTGTCTGTCTGTTATCTATCTATCTGTCTGTCTGTCTGTTATCTATCTGTCTGTCTCTATATTTTTCCGTTCCTCAGTTTATCTTGTCTTATTCTTTATAGTTTAATCAATTCGGAATGCTCAGCCATTTCTTTTGTCATAAGAAGCTAAAAAAACATCATTCAATGAAACTTCATGAAATATAACGTTAGAATGTCTAATATACGTTATCATAATTTATTCGTTAATGTGTTTATAATGAATACGAGTATAAAGCTGTAGTCTAATAATAACAAACACCAATCACTTCACTGTTTGCTTTAAATTGGCTAAATAAATTATTATAGAGCCTCTATTTTTTTATTAAGACTATTAAGAAGAGCGAATTTTGATAAAAGAGTTAGCAAAGGATCGCATATAAAGTGTAATAGACTTAAAATAAGACCAAAACTCGAGCGCTTTCGAATAACTGACTATTCTTCTTCAGGAAAACAAAGAAGAAGAAGAGTCAACTATTCGAAAGCGCTCGAGTT